ACAAGTAAGCAACTTAATGTGATACATTTCCTTCCAGAGAAAGGATAGTGTGTAGCCTGGAAGACAAGGGATCTAAGCTTCGTTAGTCTCATAGTTCTTTTAAACATAACCTTCACTTTCAAGGCCTCACCATGTTCTAAGATGCGTGCTTTTTCCGTTTCTCTTTTCTGCCCTTAATCTAACTGCCACTGCACGTATCCTTGTAGGTTTCAGGAAGCAGGGCAGGGAAGTCCTGTATGGGTACTTTTTTCCCCAAGAGATGCATGAAAGTTTCAGTGGCACCCCATTGGCCAGGATTCAGTCACATGACCACTTCTGGTAGCAAGGGAAGCTAGGAACTACAGACTCCATTCCAGGTTGGCTAAGAGTGTAAAGGATTTGGCCATGGTTGAGAAAGAAAGATGGGTAAAATGTTAGCAGTCTGTCCCCAGTGGAGGCCTCTCTTGGTGGTGGTGATAGGGAAGCTGTGACGCACTAAACCAAACGCTGTCAAGTTTCCCCTGTTAAGGGTCACATACTGTGCCCTATTGTTTGTATTGCAACAATGCCGCTCAGTAGCTGTAATGCCAGTAGCCATCGAGGATAGGTAAATGAATGTGTGTGGCTGGATTCATCGCCTTGTCTCCCTATCCCGAGCTAAACAATAAAATAGTCTCTGACTATCAATGTACGAGGCATTTGTCCTGAGCACATCACAGGCTTGTACTGTACACTACATCAGCTCCCTATAAAACCCTTCCAAAGTAAGTGCCTCCTCCTCCTCTTCCTTCTCAGTTTTAGCTATCAAGAAACTCTGGCTTGGAGAAATTCAGTGTCTTTCTTGAGGTTATGGGACATGTAAACAGAAGATGAGATTGTGTAGACGAAGACTGCTCGTTTGTTTCCCGGCCACTCAGACCCGAATAATCACACAGAAACTATACTAATTACATCACTGCTTGATCAATAGCTTAGGCTTCTTATTGGCTAGCTCTTCAGGTCTGAGAGGCCGGGGAATGAATGAGTAGTCTCCTCCTACAGGTTTGCAAAGAGGCACAAACTCTACGCCCCATTCTCATCCAGTTCTCCAAAGAAGTCTAGCTAGCCAGAGGCTGTGGGAAGGGAATTGTTCCAAAACAGCAGACTCAGAGGGCACCAAAGACTTAAATAATCAGTTTGAAAGCTTAGTGTTTAGTTAGTAAGAATGGCTGGTTAAAGTAGAAGTCATTAGATAGAGGGTTGGCCGGAGAACTTTGATGTGGTGAGCACATTCCCTGCTAAGTGGCAGATGTAAAGACTCCTTTAGTGCTTCCCCAAGCACCCAGCTTCTCTGCATTAGAATCAGGGACTGCAACTAGCTGAGCTTCTACAGGAGGTAGGACAGCTGGTAGACATGACCTGACCGGTGTCGCTCTAGACCTCCAAATAAACATGATGAGACCCAGTTGCATAGGGCTATGCAGGGCATCGTCTACACCTGTATGTGGGGTGGTCCTGTGGTGGATGAAGGAAGAAGGCAACAATAGGAAGGGCCTGGCTGAGTCAGAAAGATGAGCCAGCCTTAGTCAGTGGAGATCAGAAGTTGGGTGAACTTTGTTCTCAAATAGATGGAGATATATTGTTTATGGGGCAGAGATAAAGGTCTAAGCACTCTGACTCACGCTGCTGTGGAAGTGTTGAAGCCAGCAGCAAATGTCTCTCTGTAGGTACCCAGTAGGTCTACTTTTTAGCTCTGTGGCAGACTTGTGGAACAGAAGCGGTGATCCTCGAATGCTGTCATTTGCTTTGTTGTGAAGCTCAGCAAGCAAAGCGTGGGCCTCCTAGACTGAAGCACCAGCCTTGCCACAATGGGCCCTGCAATAGCTTTTCAGTTTGCATCAGCTAGTTTTACATAACTCTTACAGACCACTGAGGGAAAGAATTCAAAAGTGGAAAGATTTATTTTTACATAGTCTCAGTACATCAGAAAGAAGGCCATGGTGGTGGTAGTGGGGAGAGCAATAACAGGAAAGGGTAGACAAGATGGACCTTTCAGTGCCACACTCCAAGTGACCTACATCACACAGTCAGCTCCATCACACAGCTCTACCATCTCCCAGTAGTTTATTCAAATGTTGACCTATCAATAGATTTGCTCTTTGATTAAGTTTAGAGCCCCCCCTCATCTAATTGTTTCTAGAAACACCATCACAACACACTGAGATGTGTGCATCACTAATTTCCTAGTGCCGTTAGATACAGTCAAGTTGACAGGAAGGATAAACGACCACCACTGTTTCTTTATGATTCCTGAACATCAAACTGTATTCTCAAGTCAAGGATAGCTCATTTTCGAGGTAACATCAATAATCTGATCAATGCACATGATTTACAGAGTAGTGCATGTGTGTTCTATGATGTTCTTAGGACCTCTAAAGGGTGAGGGTAAGCAACATGAAGCCAACAGTCATTGACTCTTCCCCCAGGTGTGATTGACTTTAAGACTCTGTCCTGTACTATTTGGAAGGGTTCACAGCCACTGTGACATATATTATTATTGTATATCTGTTTACAAAAGAAATAGACGTTAAGTAATTGGCTCAGGACCTGGTCACTGGGTGCAATAATACCTGAACTTGAGCCCAGCAATTAGAATTTGATTTCTGTACCTCTATCATGATGGACCAGCTATGGATACATACAGATGGTTCAAGGTAGACTTGGTCAAGGATTTAAGAGGGAAACAAGAATCTACCTAAATTCCAGAACTATTACTCCAATTCAAATTGAAAAGAGTAGCTAGACATAGTGATGCATACCTGTAATTCTAGCACTCAGTGGCCAGAGGCAGGAAGAGAGCATGTGCAAGATTAAGGTGGACTACACCATAAAATTGCAAAGAGCAATAGTCAGTCTCCTTGGAGAATGAACCTACAGATGTAGACCCAGTGCTTAACGCAAAGGGAATAAAGAACCCTAGATACAGTGTGACTTAGCAATATTGATTTAGGTTCATGAAAACAATTGGATTAAGCAAGAAGAACTTGTTGATACATTCATTCATGAACCCAACTGACCTTTATTGAGAATCACACTCTATTAAGTCAATGGGTGTAAGAATAGTGATACTCACTACTTCCAAGTGCTCAAAGAGGCATATATTCTGCTGGCCTGGAGTTCATGCCATATCTTTTGTTAAGTAATTTGAATTCTATCACTAGATGCACCAATATATCTTTTTTTTTTTTTACCAATATATCTTGTACATCTTATATTGCCTCGAAGGGAAAGAGTCCATAAAAACCCAGCCATTGAGACTGGAGAGTTATCTTAGTTGTTAAAAATACTTGCTGCTCTTAGAGATCACCTAGGTTTGGTTCCCAGCATCCACATGGCAGCTCACAACCACCTGTTACTCCAGTTCCAGGGGATCGTATGCCCTCTTCTAGCCTCTTTTGGTACCAGGCATCCATATGATTCATATACACACATGCAGGGAAAACAGTAGTACACATAAAATAAAAACAGTTTTAAAAACTCAGCTAAGGAACAAACAAGTCAGGTGGTGTTAAGTAGCATCCCATACACAAATGACGTGTTGTGACAGCCATAGTCTAGGCGTGGTAACCAGGAAGACCTTTATGAGGAAGTGATAGCAAAACTGAGACCAAAGGTCGGGAAGGAGCCAGCATTTGAGAACAGTGTCCCATGGAGTGAGATCAACCACTATGAAGTATTTGAGGTAGAAAAGGGCAGTGTGTTTAAAACCCAAAGAGAAGGTCATCATGGTTAGAGGACAGTGAATTGGGACACACACACACACACACACACACACACACACACACACACACACACAGAAAGTCAGGGAAGGAAAAGGGCCCTGCCAGTTCACAGAAGGCTCTAAGACTGGCCTTTCCTGTAAGTGTCAGTGGAACTACTAGAACATTAAACAGGAACTGCCAGGATATGACTTAGGTTCATCAAAGAAGGTTAGCTGCATGAGGAGCATGGGGCCTAAGGGGCCAAAGCAGGACACTGTGTCCCTGAATGGGGTCCTGAGCTGCACAGAGCCAGGGGGTGACAGCAAGTGACCTGCTTTGGGATACATGGTGGGTGTGGAGTTGGCAGATAATCTGAGTGCGTCGGAAGGGCTTGGAATCATGGTTGTGTTCTAGATGTGTGTCCTAGATTGTCAGTCTGAGCCGTGAAATGGAAAAAAACCAGAGAGGAGCAGGTTTTGCAGGTTTTTGTAGCTTGAACATATCATGTTTAGATAGCTGCTGGGTATTTAAGTCAATAGGTACAAGATTCATGATGGAAAAAGTGAACTATACACGTAGATACAGTGGAGCGGAGCTATAAAACTAAGGCTATCGCCTGAAAGTTTGATAAATGTCAATGCTTGGGAAAACTACACTGATTATTAGAGAACCTATGATTTATGAACAAATAAATGATCAGGCGGAGAGATAGACAGGCAAGAGCCAGCACTCGGAAAGCCTTGAAATGGAGCTAACCAGAAGCTACTAAACTAACCTGCACTGTGGTTTTCCAATATTCTCCTGAAAGCAAAATGCAGGAAAATTTGGAGGTGAGGGTAGCTTGAGTCAGGGTAAACAATGTTCCCAACAGTTCATATGAGAGAGCTATAAAGGCTGGAACTTACCTGCTGATCGTATGGAAGAGGAAGGGACAGATTCAAAATTATTAAGGGAGTTTTGGTGCTTTTGTTGGCTGTGGGAGTGAGGGAGGAGTCTGTGAGACTCGGCTTTCAGCCTGGTTACATGTTGGGGACGTTAAGTGAGATATAGAACATACGCCCTTGAGGACAGGCATGGATTTCATTCTGCTTTCTTTTCTCCTGCCAGGCCTGGTGTCCATTTTCAGGCTGTGGAGTTGACAGATTTTGGATTGTCCTAGGAATTATTCTTTAAGGAAAGTCTTGTTCAGTGTATTAGAGTTAATGGTGGTACCTGGGAGATGGCAGCATTTAGGTAGCGGGGGTATGCTGATGCCATTCTGCTCCTTCTATTGTAATTTAGGAGGTTGCCTGGAAAAGAGGTGGTTTTCAGTCTTCGTGAGGAGGAAGAAGAGGAAGAAGAAGAAGATGACGACGAAGAAGAAGCTGTTCAAGAGACATGGTGAGAGGACGAGAAATCAGAGGAAATAGAAAACAGTAGATCAGAAAGGGGGAGCATGGCCACCAGCATCAATGCCAAGGAGAGGTCAATGCTGAGGGGTTCATGGGGCAAGTACTTACGATGGTTCACTGAATGGAGCTTTGGGCCGCGAAGGTAACTGAAGTTGTTTCCGCGGCATTAGAAAGATAGAACCCAGACAGTGGTAGGCAGAGGGATCTACGGGATGGGAGAGGAAGAGCACACATCTAAATAGCTTTCAGATAGAGTAGAGACTGATCACTGTTACTGTTTCCCTGTGGATGAGAAGACAGATCTGTTACTGACACCGAAGGGAAGCACATAGTTAAAACCAGCAGTGAAGTGTAGAGACTTCTAGAACTGAGTTCTGAGACGTTTCTAACTGCCCTGCAGGGAGACCTGTAAAACACATGCTTATTTTGCTAATTGTTGGTAGCTGTCCAGAAGAAAGTGCAAGACTCATTGCCTTTTCCAGGAAAAGAAATGGGGAGCCCTGTGTTCCACGCAAAACAGACTCGTCTCTAGCACATCCTGACCTCAAAATTTCCTTCAGAGAAAATCCTCTCTGCCTAAGGAGGTTGTGTTTGACCTTGAGTTAACTGAAGCCCAGAGGTGAAATCCCTTCTACTGGAGGCCGCAAGCTGATTCTGTCAGACACAACTAATCCGGAGCGGGGAGTAGCCACTGGCTCAGAGTCTTCAGCTCCTCACCACCAGCGTCCAGTTCCGTGCAGCTTCTAGGTCAGGCATTGGGTGTTTTCCGCTTACAAGTTGAATTGCTTCCATGAGATACAAAAGAGCTCAGAATTGGACTTCTGTCTACTAAAGACACCACTGTGGTCCGGGAGGACTGTTCAGCATTCTAATGCCCTTTAGAGAGAGATGTGAACCCTTGTTTCTTTTGATAGATGTTGGTAGTCGTCCAGAGGCAAACTGAAGTTCCCAGTGCTTTTTTTCCAGAAAGAGTAATGGGGAGCCCTTGTGTTCTGGCCAACAATCTTCTCAATAAAACAAATAGGGCTCTAATGTTGGCAGCTCTCAGCGCTGTGGCTGAGGACATAAAGGCGGCTCTGTCTTTGTCCACGGTCAATACACAGCAACTTTTAACTCATTACTAAAATAATCACACAGAGATACAGCCAAAGAAGGCTTGCCGAATACTGGCTTTTAAATTTGGTTTTAAGCCTTGGTTAGTATCTTTTTCTTGACTAACTCAGTCCCCCAAGACACAAATAAACCTTTCAACAACAGCAATTAGAATAAGGTGACTAGAGAAACAAAGAAAAGGTGTGGCAGAGGTGCTCTGTGCTGACTCAGCGATGACGCTCTGCAGGTCCCTGTTCTCATGGCCAGGAACAGGCATGGGCTCCAGTGGGAAATACAAGTAGAGCAAGCCATTTTCAGACCTGTCACTTCGGGTCCTCCCACAGTGCCCCAGATCTCGTCCCTCTTGAGGGACACTGTGCGCTCCAGTTGGCCCACATTCCAAATAGAAATGATTCACCTAATCCTTATCAGGCATACAATCAAGAAAATAAGGGCTGCAGGGATAGCTCAGAGGTTAAGAGCACTCCCCCCCACCCTTACAGAGGACCCAGGTTCAGTTCCCAGCACCTACATGGTGGCTCACAACTATCTGTATCTTCCAGGGGACCCAACCCCCTCTTTTAACTTCTTCAGGCAACACTTCTATGGATGGTGCATATGCATCAATGCAGGTAAAACTCAAACACATAAGATAACTAAGTCTAGAAGAAAATAAAAGTTAACATTTATCATGTGACACAATAGAAATTTCTGGGTATTATCGTTTTTAAATATAATATCTCATTCTTTGAGAATTAATATGATGTATTTTGATCATCTTCACCCCTACTGCTTCCCATAATGCATCCCAGATCCCCATTCCTGTCAACTTGTGCTCCCCCCCTTTTTTTGTTTTTAAACAGCCCACAAGCCCAATTTATGCTGCCTCTGTACACACGGGTGGGGAGCTGTCCACTGGAGTATGGTTCCATTACCAGGAGCCATCCCCTTAAAGAAAAAAGTCTCCCTTCCCCAGCTCCTCTGATGGGGGTAGAGGCTCACGACAAGTGCCTCTACCCTCCATGCTGGAACACTGGTTGGCTTGACCTTGTGCGGGTCTTGTGCAGGCCAGCCCATTGGTAGGTTCAGGAATGCTGTAATGGTGTCACATCTAGAAGGCTTTGCTTTGCTCCAGTCCTCCCTGACTTTTGGGTCTTACTCTATCTTTCTTCCCTTCTTCCAAGACGGTTCCTGAGCCCTGGGGGAGGAGATGACATAGAGGTCTGCTAACATGTACACTCTGATCTTTGACCAGTAAGTCTATGTGTTAATCACTGTCCACTGCACAAAGAAACTTCTCTGATGAGGTCTGAGGATTTCCTCTACAGTATGAATATAGAGGCTGGTTTGATACTATGTCCATTTAGCAGAATAATAGTAGCAGGTTCATCCCTGGGGGCTGTGAGCTCCCCAACTACAGGCCCTTGGCCAGATTTATAGTATCAGGCATGAATTTACTCTTGTGGAGAAGGGCTTAAATCAAACTAGAAAATGATGGCTTACTCCCATAATATTTGGGCTATTAGTGCATCCATGAGCATATCTTGTGAAGTCATTCATTATTATATGCCCAAAGTCAAGTAAACTGCTGAGGACTCCCCTGCCCCAGTAGTCTACAGATCTTCTGAGACTATAAAGTTAGCTAGCAGGAAGGATGCTTCCTATTCAGTACCGACTTGATTTCTTCATGTCCTGTTATGAAAGTGTGCCTTTAGCAATAGACTAGGGTCTAACCATCAAGTGGTTTTGTTGCTATTATCAAACTAGATAACAGACCAGTCAAATGATTCATGCTCGGAACTTACTAAGCTGCTCAGAAGATTCTTTCCATTTTCCTCTTCTTTTTCTTTTGCTCTCTTTCCATTTGTCTGCATGGCTCGTGGAGGGATGGGGTAACGTAGAAATTAGGGATGTTGGGTTCTCTTCCTGAATAATATTTTCCTATTACCTACTCACTACAAATAGACTGCCAGACTCAGTGTGACATCCTGAACCTGGAAATTATGTCTCTAGGACTCCAATCTTGAGAGGGTATGCCTCATCCCAGTCTGCTCCCCGTACTCACAATGAGAAGGCTGGAAGGGACAGCTTTGTCTGGAATTGTCTACTTTTGTCTGTATTTGTCTTCAGCCCATTCAAAACATCCAATGCAATAGACAACAGGTACTTTGACTACATTGAGGAGAAGCAGAGATGAAGAAGCAATTAGAATTAATTAGGTATAAGAATTAATTAACAATTAAGAAGCAATTGTTTTTGGAAGGAGCTACTAGTGAAGAGCTTCCTTAGTGATCTTCTCGTTCATGCACAAATCTACAGAGCCATATTTAATCTATGTCTTCATCAACTATGGATATATTTTATAGGTCCTTCTCTGTGAAAGACTTTTTACCAGATTCATTGCTTACCTGATCTCATTAGCATTTTATGACAACTGTGTATAGACTAAATATTATCTCAGTTTGTGAATATTATATCAGAATTGAAGACTGGAGCTCAGAGAATTTAAATAAGGAGTCTAAGGTCATGAGACTAGGAGAAGAAAAGACTGAAACCCAGAGTCCCTTTGCATAAGCCTTCGTCTTTTTTGTTTGTTTATTTGCCTTGGGGGAAAAACACCTTGCACGGTGGTAAAGAAGAGCTTGGAATCTTCCAAGTCCAGAGCAGGCTGAGGGCCTCTCACTTCAAGTTCTTTCCTGGCCTTTATTGGAAATGAGCCACTCATTCTTCTGGTCCCACACATTAGAAGTAGGAATGAGGATTTTTTTAAAAAAAAATCTAGATCAAATGCACCCACAAACAATGATCCCCAGAAGCATCCAGATCAAGAAAGGGACATTTTTTTTCCTACCTTGAAAAGCACTCTGTGATGATTCTCCCACCCACAACTATTTAATTATGCAATTATTTAATTAATGGGCAATATCATTAGCTATTTTATTCATGTGCCTCCTTTCCAGTTCTCTTTACTCTTTGGCTGTCTACCTTTCCTGTCCTGCCCAGTCAGAAACTAAGAAATAGGACCTTTTTTTAAAGAAGAAGAAGAAGAAGAAGAAGAAGAAGAAGAAGAAGAAGAAGAA